TGGAACATCATCATGGTCCAACAGGAGACAATGGTCAGAGCACCCGCTCCTCAGACTACATGATTGATAGATGTAAATTGAAGCAAAGTAGGAGATAGGAATTTGTTAGATTTTCAAACAATAATTTATGGCTACTTGTAGAATACTCTACATCTGTATGTGGGACAAACAGTGTTCTCCGAAGCAGCATTGCCCCTTGGTGGCCATAAAGAGAAGTTCCATTGAAACATTATATACAGCTTCTTAAAAATTCATGTTCATCAACCATGCGTGAATCAGAGCAATGAAATAAGTGACTGAGTCTTCTTCCACCAATCATTTCCTTAGACAGAAGATTAGCCCTTGTTGAGAAATTGGTCCTCAGGCAGAATCACTGCATAGGGCCATCTTTCTTCCCATAATATCAACATCAGCTCAAAAGAGCCCTTCACACTGAAGAGAACATGAATCTAAATAGTTTTTAAATTAGACAGTTTTTGTCCCTTTCTGTCAACAATTGAAATAGTTATCTTTTAATTTTTAGCCAACATAATGGGTTATAGTGATCTCATGCGGTAGTAATTTGAATTTCCCTGATGGCTAATGATGTAAAAAGGGTTTTGCAAACTTTAACCATAATGTGTAGAATAGTAAATACTTTTGGCTTTGCAGGCCAGTCAGTCTGTGTTGCGACTACTAGACTCTGCCATTTGCAGCATGAAAGAAGCCATTGATAATACATTTTAAAGATGGGAATTGCTATGTTCCAATAAAATTTTATTTACAGAAATAGGTGCCTGGATGGATTTGGCTCATGGGACATATTTCATTGATTCTTGGTGTAGAGAATATATCTTTTATGAAGATTCTGATTAAATATTTTGCTCATTTTTAAACTGGGTAACATTGAGACTTTTAAAATGATGTGTTCTTGATGCAATGAGCACTCTCATTGCCATGTGTACAAAATCATCCCAAAATAATCCTTAACTGCTCGAAAAGGCTGACTTTGAAACCCATGGCTTAGAGGAGTACCGAGCAGCAACATCACTATTCTGACAGGAATGAGCTGCAAAGTGAAATTCATTTTCCAATCAT